ACAAAATCAGATTTTTAGGAACAAGGAGTGCTCGCTTTAGCAGGACATATACTAAAATCAGATGCAAAGGGTAATGGCAGAAACCAGACACTCCTCTCAGAAGTAAGAGGCCAAACTGAAGTTTGATATATTCTTGCTGTGTCCCAAAGCATAGGGGTAGATGACAACTTGGATACAAGAGTTAAAATTATGAGACTGTAGAGTGGTAGGGACCTAAGGACAGGGAGCTACATCATAGACATCATAAGAGTTCTATGGTTGGTGGATTTTATGAGAAAATCTTAAGACACATAAAAACAGAGCTTGTAGCAGTATATTAGCTCATAAAAACAATAAACTCACTTTTGTTCCACAAAATAGCTTTTTCAAAAAGTAAAACATAGGTTTTGCAAAATAAAAACATTAGTGAGGTGTAAATATTTCTTTACTCTCTGGCTTACCAACATAGCAGGATTGCTGTATCTGCTTCTATTACACTAATATAGGCTGTATAGATTCTGGGAAGCACCACCTGATGCTGGAGCGAGAGTTAGAATGACATAAGCAAATACTATTTTAATGTTGTTGTGAAAATAGTTCTGACCTATGGACCCTTAGACATCCACAAGCCATACTCTGAGAACTGATGATTTCTTCCATATAGTTCTCTTCTTTCCTTTTTTTTTTTGTGTGTGTGCCTAATTTATATATATATATATATATATATATTCATAATCTTACATAGTTAATTAGGGTACAAAGGGACAAGGGCTACAGGAAAGTGGATAAGACAATTGTTTGCACACTAATATCATGATTTTTCCCCTGGTAACTTGGATCAGGGGAGAAACAAAGGAAGAATCCCCACTCAACCTCCCACCAATGTGGACATGCTCCGAGGGTCCTGCTTGAGCAGTTTTGATAGTTCAACAGTTCTGAATTGCTGCCAATCTCACCATTCCAGGCACGATGACATTTCAGAATCCACTGGCTGACACAGTCTCTTCATGGTTAGGGTTCTAAGATCAGTAGTTCAGTTGGAGGGATCTCCAAAGAAACTTTCTCTGAGGTGATCCCAGACCTGATTCTTGTGTGTGCTTGCCAGTACAGGGTCCGTCACAGTTCATTGCCCCAATCAGCTTATGCACATGCTGGTGGTTGCAATTGCTGGGTCAGTTTTGTTTCCAGCCCTGTGAGAGCTGCAGCCTAGTTGGGGCAACTGCCCATAATCCCCACCAGGCCTGCCCCCTATGCTGGTTCCCATGCTTGCCAGTATGTACCACAGACTTGTTCAATCCGTCCCACATCCCATTTAGCTCTCCTACATGTCAATGGCGTTGAAGCCTAGTGCAACCCAACCTGCCCTACTATCCATCCCACACACATACTGGTGGGTGCCTTTCTCTGTCTAGCCATGCCTGCCCCAGTCCTGGTTTTCATGCTCTCCAGTGGGAGTGATAACCAAAGAGGGAGGTGCTCACTATTTCACTACTAGGCCACTTCCACTCCCGGATTATCCACTCTCCAGGTGGTTCTGCAGGTTAACTTGGCAGAATTAGCCCCTTGTGTCAGCCTCTGCCAGCTGATGCTGTGGCAAAGCCCAGCCAACCCTCACCCACTCTGTTTTATGCTTGCACCAGTAGAAACAATCAGCCCAACCTGGCTTTTCCCTGATCTAGCTCACATGAGACCCACAGGTGCTGTAGCCCTGCCTGGTTTTGTCTGCCCTCATCCCAACTCATGCTTTCCAGTGGGAGGGGCTGTCCAGCAGGGGAGCCCACATTCCCCCTACCGGCGTTGTCCCCTCCCTCCCAAGTTCTCACATGTGCTGTTTGGGCGCTGTGGCCACATCTGGTTTGGCTCACCTCACCTTGACATTCCATAATGTGCACTGGTTTGTGTCACGACCGAACCTGGCCCGATCCACACTCTGTTCTGGTGCACGGATTCACCAGTGCATGATGTGAACTGGTTCAGACTAGTCTGCTCCTGACCTATGCCAAATGTATACCAGTGGGTAACTTTCTCTGGCCTGGTCTGGATTGCTTTCTGTCATGGTTCTTGCACTCACCTGCAATGACTGTGTTCAGACAGAGGAATTTCCCAAACTCATCCATCAGAACTTCTCCCTATGCCAGATCTTGTGCATATCGGTGGGTACGTGGGCCAACCCTGCTTAGTCCACCTCCTGTCCTGGTAGGAACAGTGGCCTTTCCTTGCTGGCCTTCAATCCACTCCAGTTTTTACTGTTAGATGTTTCAGCCCAGCCAAGGCTCATTCATACCCAGACACTGCTCACACATGGCTCAGTAGGAGCAGAGACCTAGCCTAGTCCACCCTCATCTACCCTGGTTCTCACGAGCTCCAGATGGTGCTGGCGTATAGCCCAGTCTGATGTGTTCAGTCCCAGTTCACACGTGTGCCAAGGGAGACTGCAGCCATATCCAGACCAGAATGCATCACCCACTCCAGCCCCCCACACTCTCCTGTGGGAATCCCAACTCAGCAAGGGTGCATTCTTACAGCTCCCCAACTGAGCCTATTCCCAGCCCTGATTACGTGCATGCCAGAGGTTGCTCTGACCCAGTTGGCTTAGCCCCTCACCTGTCTCAGACTTTGCCTTTGATGCTCTGGCCTAGTATCCTTGGCTCATGCAGACCAGTAGGTGTAAGAACCTAGCTCGGCATGACCTGTGCTCCATCCTGATTTCTGCTCTTCCTTGTGAGTTGAGGTTTGCTAAGCCCTGCCTGGTCTGCCCCCTTCCAGTTGCAACTTGGCCCACCCCACATCCTATTTTAGGATGCACATTTGCCTTGACCTGCCCAGACTGTTGTTGGTTCCTTTCCTCTTAAGTGACGGCTGGTTCCTTGGTCACTCTTAGCTCAGCCCATCTCCACCACAGCTTGCGAACTAACCAGCGGGACTTGTATTTCCACAGGGTTGGTCCGACACTTCCCCCACAGAATCTACTCCCGGACCTGGTTCTCTCGCATGCTGATTAGTGTCTTGACTCTGTCAAGTGTGGCCTATCCTCTATTCCACCACTCAGTCAGGTACTTGTATCTAGCCCTGCCAGACAGGCTCCCATCATTAGCTTTCGTGTGGACTGGTGTGTGGCAGTCAGTGATGTTCTACGTTAAAAGCCTATCTCAGGATTCCCATTTGGGCTGGTGAATCAGTCTGGCCCAAATAGATCTTTTGGACTGTCCCCTCCAAACCCTCTGCTGAATCTCAGCTTAAATTGTCTGCCAAGACCAATTTACAATAGGAATGAGGATTAAATCCTTTCTGAGGGTATTTCATTTACATAATAGTAATAACAATAGTAATAATCTAAGGTTAAGTATTGCAATGCTTCTTTTGGCGAATAAATTGGCAACACATGCTAGGCTAAATCAGTTGCAGCAGAATCTCATCACCATTTCCTCCCTGCTCCTACCATTTGTTCTCCAATCATGTATTCTGGCATTATCCTGTGCCTTTGGTGAAGCCTTCCCCAGCAAAGCTTTCCACAGGCAAGCAGAGCCTTTATGTCGTCACCATCCTTGCCCGGGTTTCACTTATTGCCTGTCACCTTGCACCTCCATGGCCTAATTTACTTTCATAAGTTCAGCTCCACATACAGGGCTGGGCAACTAGCAGGCCTTTTTTTAATTAACTGCAACCTGAACTAGTCGAAATGTCAGAGTCAAGCTCGGGATTTCTGTTTAAATCAATGTTGACTGAAAAACTAAACAAGGCAATGTCACGGGCTGGATGCCAGTCTTGGGGTGGGAGGGGAAGGGTAGCTCTAAAGAATGAACAGAACTCCTAGCAGTGCCAATACTGATACAGCCAGGAATCACCTGTTCCATTTTCTTCACTGGCTTTTCCAGTCTCTCAATTTCCCGCCCACTCCCTTCCCTTCAGGAGACAGGTCCGGCAGGTATCCCGGCTCGGCGGCTCTGATTGGCCGGAGATGATTTCATTGTTAGGAAACATCCGGGTCTCTGTCCTCCCCGCAACACTTCCCCGAGAGCCGGCCCGGCCTTTCCTCCCGTTCCCTCCCCCAACTCTGCGCCCGCGGCTGAGGCCAAACAACCGCCTCTCCCCGGCCCGCGTCTGGGCTTCGTCCGGGCTTCGTCGCCTCCGGTGTCTGTGCCCAAGAGAGGCGTTTGTATCCTCCAATGAGGGCCTAGGAAGGACTTTATTCACCAATCAGTGGGCAGCCCCCTGCGATTCCGGGCGGGCCCAGGCCTCCACACCTATTACCGGCCAGCCCGTCGGCCCCATGATGGTGGAGGTTTAACTCTAGGCTTCTGAGGTCAGAGACAAGGGACGGGAAGGGTCCGTACGCTTTCTGGGTCCGACCGTTTCTGGAGACTAGCCAATTGCTTTGCGAATCCTAACCCGCCTTTTTTGCGTGTTCAATGAAAAAAAAAGCCCCTGTGACGGACTTGGAAATTGGTTCCGTGACTGACACGCAAAGCAAGCCAATGGCTGAGAGTTCGGACCACCTTTTGGACCAATAAGAGAAGGAAGTCTCCAGGTTTGGGCTGTGAGGGGCGGGTCGCTGGGATCGACGTAATTTGATTGACGGAGAGCCTGACTAATGGCTGGGACGGTGGGACTGGTCCACGCCGTGTGGGAGGCGGTACACTGCGGGGGCGGGGCTGAATGAAGGCAAAGGACGCGAAAGGGTTGGACTGGCCTCGATGGGCGGGTGTTTGATGGATAGCTGACCTTGCCAATTGAAGGTGGTCACTGATGTCCAATGGGAAATGAGAGACTGAGAGGCGGGGCCGCGTAGGCGGGGAAAACTTCAGTGTGGAGGTACCAGGTGAGCCGCACGGGGAGGGGAGCGCTGACGGACGGGCCTCTCCGCCAACCGGGTGCCTGCTGGAGGCCGCGAGGAGGCGGGGCCCCGCGAGGGGCGGGCGCGACCGGCTGCGCGGAGGTGGGGGGGTTGCAGAAGGAGCCGAGCGGCTGCTGCTCAATGGCGGAGAAGCCGCCGGTTCTCTGACCGCCTCGCCCCCCCACCCCCAGCAGCTGCGGGGGAGTTTCCTGCCGGCGCGGCTGGAGTCTGTGTTTCTCAGTGTCCGCTGGCTGGAAGATGCTCCAGAGAGACGAGGCTGAGGCGGAGGAGGTGGCGGCGGCCGAATCGGCAGCGGCGCTAGGGTGGAGAGAAGGCGGCAGCGGCAGCGGCGGCGGCGGCTTGAGGAGCCGGGCGGTGTAAACAGCCCCGGCCGAGGCGGTGGCCGAGACCCCGAGGACGAAGCGACGGCCGAGGCAGGGTCGCGCCTCGGTCGGAAACCTGGGCTGAGTGGCCTCGGTTGGGGGTGGGAGGGCTCCGCGGCGGGCGCCGAGCGAGAAGCCCTTAGACTTGGCCTCCGTCCCTCGCCCCAGGTAAGGCCGCTGGGCGCCTCGCCGGAGGGGAAACGGCTGACGGCGGCGTCGTCGAGGCCCTGGTCCGCTTCCTGGGTGCTGCCGGGCGGTGGGGCTGGGGTGGGCTCGGGGCTCGGTCGGCCGCCGGCTCTGGGCAGCGGCACGCCGGGCCCGGGCTCCTGGGTAGGCCCCTTGTAGCCCTGGCTGCCTCCTCCGCGCCCTCTCGCCTTAGGTTAGGGCTGGGAGAGGCGCGGGGTGGGGATCGGAGTTGTGCTCGAACGTCTGGAACTCAACTGCACTCTGGCGGACTTGGGTGCCTCGCGAAAGCCCTGGGCTTGGGCAGGCCTGGCCCGTCCGCCCCTGGTGCACGCCTGGTCTCAAGACGCTCCCATTGCCCATTTGTTCCCGGTCAGCCGGTGCCTGACTGCGCCCCGCTCCACTTCCTTGTTGGTGGAAGCTTCTCTCCGGCTCTTCGGCTCTGGGCGTCTCTCCGTACCCGTCCCTGCTCGGCTGCATTTTCTCGGAGACCTTTTCTCTTTTCCGTCTCCTGGACCCCCAGCTTGTCTTGCCCCATCTTCCCCACACCGTCTCCTCTCCTCCCCCCCCCCCCCCCCCCGCCATGTGGCTGTTAACACTTAAGTTCTTAATTGAAACGGCTGTGGTCAGGACCCTGGTCTACCAGGGTCCCGTCAGGGGAGACTGATAGCTTTGTATGGTAAATCCGCGGTTTTAGTCCGTATACTTTAAAAAAAGTATATATATGTATCTGGAGATATATATATAGTATTAAGCCTGTTGGGTTACAAATGACACTGAAATGGTTTTATTAAGGGGGACCCAATAAGTGTTGCAAATGGCTGTTTGTTCCTGTTTTAAAGTCTAACTCCTGTCAGGAGTTAGCAGATCTAGGACGCTTGTCCATCTTCTTTGGCATTTGATAGCAGCCCAAAGTCAAGTTCTTCTAGAACTTAAAAAAAAAAAAAAGACGACACTGTATGAACAGGCGAGAAGCTGTTTGGATAAAGCTGCAATTAAAGAGCCTTGGAAATAGTCTCCACATGTTTCACGTATCAAAATAAGTTGGCGGTAGTCTTGTCAAAGGATTATTTGGGAATCCTAGTCGTCTCAGTGTATTAAGTAGCTATTTTGGGAGAAACATTCTTTTTCAGTCCACAAACGTTTACAACTCCTGTGATGTGAGAATGTCTGAGGTTTATTGTGGGATTAACGCAGGGACTGTTTTCTTTGAGCCTCCTGCGTGGCCGGAGAAAGTGTTGGCTTGTTCGGGAAGGACACTGCAAGTCACAGTCCGTGCTGGGAGATGGAGAGACATGTCGTGGACGCTGCATGTTAATAGATGTTATTTCATTTACTTTCTCTGTTGTGCAATAGCAGAGTCCTTTTGTTGGCCTACTTTTAAATGGACGATTTCTTAATAGTGAGGCAAGTAGTTCTAATTATTTGGATGGACTTTTCCAAGAGTACAAGCTTCTAAAAGAGAAAAAAAGTTGAAGTCATATTAAAATGGTGGTTGTTAAGGATGTCTTTTTGTAGGTCTCACCCATTTTTAGGCTGTTGTGGATGTCCTGAAACTTTTACAATTTAATGGTTGGAAAGCATTTTTATTCTTAAGGCAGCAGATTTTTTTAATCTCAGGATTAACTTGTCTTTTACACTGTCCTGCTTTCTCTCAAAGCCACCTTTGTCTCTTTTTTCCCTCCTATAAGGATTGTGTTTTCTCCATTTGTTTTTGGTCTCATAAAGTCTTATCATGGCTTCTGCAGTGGTTTTTAATGGATGTGTTGTTAGAGTAGATTAGTTTAATTTTATTTGAACTTTTATATTCACTGTTTTAATATTTTCCTCCAGTTTTTGTAGCTTATCCTTTGGATTTGTAGTTGTGATTTTTTTCTTGGATGTAATCAGCAGAAAGTCCAACACCTGCTTTTTTTTTTTTTTTTTTTTCCTCCAACTGAGTGATTTCTGTGAAGACTCCAGGAATTAGGTGAGAAAGCCTTTTCAATTTGCTGGTCATGCCAGCAACTTTCTATGTTAGTAGTTCACATAATTATTAAATCCCTTAAGATGACATCATCTGAAGGAGTGGTGTGGTGTCGAAGTGGCTGTGCTTCCAAGAACAGCTGAATCACAGGTTGAAAGGTAGAAAAGGTGGCTCTTGTTGAAGGTTACTCCTGTAATTCTTGTGTTTTATTGCGTCTTTTGACTACATATGTGATGCTGATTCTTTGTTGACACTCAGTAGAATGTGCCACAGTGTAAGTTGGTGATTGAATATTCATTAAAACTGGCTGAACCAAGGCAGAGATTGCAAACATGCCCATGTAAATAGATTGGCAAACATTTTAAAGATTAGTTTATTTGAAATGAGAGGCGGGGGGAGATCTTCCATCCATAGGTTCACTCCGCAAGTGGCTGAAATGAGCAGGGCGGAGCCTGGGTGCAGGAGCTTCCTCTGGGTGGCTTGGGCTGTCATCTACTTATTTCCCAGGTGCATGGGAAGGGAAGCAGTTTGGGACTCCAACGCGTGCCTTTGTGATTCTGTGCAGGCTGTGGCTTTTTCCAGTACACCAGACTTGGTGATCATTTATTGTACATGATACAGGGATTTTTTTTTAACCACACATTGATGTTTTATATATATAAAACTATTTTGTGAATTGTCTTAAAGCATTTTGTTATTACCTAGCGTATAAAAAAATGAAGCTTTTTCTAAAAAAAGATTTATTTTTATTGGAAAGTCAGATTTACAGAAAGAAGCAAAGACAAAGATCTTCCATCCACTGGTTCACTCCTGAAATGGCTGCAGTGGCCAGAGCTGAGCTGATCGAAGCCAGGAACCAGGAGCTTCTTCTGGGTCTCTCACTTGGGTGCGGGTCCCGAGGCTTTGACTTGTCCTCGACTGCTTCCCCAGGCCACAAGCAGGGAGTTGTAAGGGAAGTGGAGCAGCCAGCATATGGATCGCCACCCGAATGAGAGGACTTCAGCCTCTAAGCTACTACTGTTCTGGGCCTTTTAAAAAAAGGTTTATTTAAAAGGCGGACCTGCAGGGGGAGACAAAGGTAATGGAGGAAGAGAGATCAGTTTTCCATCCCCTATCCCCTTGTTAACTTCACAAATGCCTACCACCAGCCAGTTCTGGAACAGGTGAAAGTTAGTGACTCCAGCAGGAAAATGCATTCGAAGCTAAGCAGTGGAGACTGTGACCAGTACACTGAAATACAGTGATCAGGGCACAGCTTAACATGCTGACCCCTGAAGTGGCCCCCTCATAAGCTATTGATAAAGGGAACACAAGTAACTTCTTACAACACCAGATAGTTTAATTTCTTATTATGTAAAAGTTAGTATCCCAACAAGCAGCGGTATTGAGGGTATTAGAAGTTTTTTAATGCCAAAATTTTGGCATCAGCATTTTTCATTTAACAACTTTAGTTGTAAAATCACCTGTTAGCAGTAGGTAAGTTTTGGGGCATACATGATATTTTTGGATTTTCAGTGATTATTCACATTGTATTTGATTTTCTCCCCTTAGTGAACTAATTGCAGAATTTGAATGGAATTGAATACTGCTATTTGTGTTGGCATCCTAGAGTTTAATTTAATTGTAGAATATATCTTACAACCCATGGCAGCCAATTTATTGAATAGGAAAATTGATTAATTAGGGACATGGAATTAGATTCCTAGAAACTGGGTTGACCCCAGATATGTAATTTTGGTTACTTAAAGTTTCACTACCTTGTACTGTAACAGCGAAGATAAAATAGATTTTGTGAATATTTGGGTTTTGTGGTTTATACTAAAGTGATTGTTATTAGCTATTAGTACAAGTAAAGAAAGCTTTATAATCTGTGTTTTAAGCTATTTTCATTCTGTTTGAAAGACAGAGAGGTAGAGAGATTTATTGTCATCCATTGGTTCACTTGTGCCCATAATAGTTGGGGCAGGGCCAGGCTGTAGATAGCCTGAAACTCAGACCTGGATCTTCCATGTGAGTGGCAGAAACTCAAGGGCTTGAGGCATTATCTGCTGCCGCCCGGGTGCACAGTAGGGAGAAGCTGGGTGGGTGGGGAGGAGCTGTGACTCAGTCGGGCACTTAGCATGGGATATAGACATCCCAAAGTGGCAACTTCGCTGCTGTGCCAAGTGCTTGTCACCCTCCCGTGTGTATGGTGTGTGTGTGGCGTGCTTACATCAGTGCGTTGTTTTAAAATAGCAGAATAGCTTTTGGTTCATTTGACTCAGAATGCTAATATCTTAGCTTGGAATTTTTTGCAAACATGCGATTTAATCTCTGTATGTATATTTAAGAAGATTGATACTTTACGTCATTCCATCTATAATCTTTGCGTGAAAGAACACTATTTGTGATTTGAGTGGTTAGTTCAACCATGTTTAGATGTAAAGAGCTCTCTACTTCATCTTGGTAATCTATTGCAGTTTTCCAAAAGTGTAATGTATATATTGTATTAGGCTTTTATTTCTTAATAGACAATTTAAACATTTTGAGATTTTAGTTGAGTAACATCTAGCTTTCTAGGAAATGTGAATACCGTGATAGCTTATGATCTTTTTCATTCTAGTTCTGAAATTTTAGGGATGTAATTTTTCCTAATAATTTAACTAGAATAGCAGACACAGAAAACACTCTCTGAATAATGGTAAATTGGGAGTTCACAACTAAACTTTTTTTTCTTTGTATATTACTATAGCTAGCTTGTGAGCACATCTGCATTATCATAGCCTAACATGGACAGTCTCTAATGACACCTTCTGTATTTTGTTTAACCCTGAGAACCTAGTAGGTTAATCTGCTCTAGTGCAGCCTTCTGTTGCCTAATGGCAGGGACAGGTTCTGAGGTATGCATTGTTAGGTGATTTTGTCATTGGGAAAATCATGGAGTGATTTTACACAGGCCTAGGTAATGTAGCCTATGTATACCTACACCTGCTGCTCCTCAGCCGTAAGCCTGAATAGCACATTAGTGAGGTGAACAGTG